GTAGAGGCCACCACGAGTGCATAACCCGCCATAGCTCGGCAATCATTCTGGTCCGGACGAGTCGGTCTATAAAACAATGAGTCTTATGATGTCAATGTATCATGTTTGAGTGGCTTTTACATGTTGTGTGGGATTGAATAACATGATTTTTATATCTAGCTCACCCTTACTTATTTGTATTGCTTGTGTATGTTTATTCTTGCGATGATCATCCATTGGATGGGAGCAGATGGCGAGGAGGTTCCATTGGAGACGGCTTTGGATGTTGAGGACAATGCTGTTGCCTAGTCTTCGGTGATGTTATTAGTTATTCCTGAAATTTGGGATACCGTTTTTCCTTCCAGCTTATATTTAGATCTCTTTGGAGTTTAACTTTAAATTCTGAAGCTATTTTGAGGATGACTGTAATCCTATTTGTTCTCAATTGCTTTCCTATATTATGCATGATAACGTCCTTATTATATATTAGAATCTCACATAATCAAACTTCTTCCCCGCATTAGAGAGTTATTTACACGTATATGGTTGACATAAAATGATAGCCTTAAAAAGTCAATCTTGATGTATCTACATGAAGAAGAGGACAGTAAGATTTAAGAGTAATATTTATTATTCATCTATTTTTATTAATTATTTATTTATTTTTAAAGAACATATGTGAATAAGAATAAAAATTATTTTTTAAATTTATATATTAATTGTATTACATGTAATACTTTTTGAAACAGATAAAATCACAATGAATAAAATTTCAAAAAACCAATAATCCAAAATATAAGTTGATTGATCTAATAATAATTTAAAGGGTTAAATATGTTTTTGGTCTCTTAACTTTTAGTAAAAATTGGAATTAGTCCCTCTTCAAAACTTTGGTCTAATTTAGTCCCCAAACTTTAAAATTGTGTGAATTTAGTCCTTTTAACTAAATTTTGTTTGGTTTATTTGATGTTTCAAGTGCGTTTCATGATAGCATTTGAGTTGTTTATACTGTTTGACACATTTTTGCTTCAATGTTAACTGAGAAATGTGTTTGAAACATAAAATAAAATTAACAAAATTTGGTTAAAAGGACTAAATTCACACATTTCTAAAGTTTGAGGACTAAATTAGTCCAAAATTTTGAAGAGGAACTAATTCTAATTTTCACTGAAAGTTATAGGATCAAAATATATTTAACCCTAATCGAAACATGTATCTATTAGAAAATATTCTAATTAATACTATTTTGTAATTTTCTTGCACATTAATTTTGTCGTGCTGTCTCGTGTCATATTAGAGATATATTGTGTTTTTGTTTTGGGGAGCATTAATTTGAAAGAAGAGTGTGAAAAATAAAAAAATGAAAAAGGTGTGGAGAAGGAGACCAATATTTGGAGTGAAGTGTCCATTTTCATTAAATCAAAGCCTCTCTCTACTTTTGCCGACCTCGTTCTTCGCTACGTCTAGTAAACTACCCTCTTCTCATGTCTATCCTATGTTACCATCAATGATAAGCAACTGAGTTAAAAAAAATCTCGTAAAATATGTTCATCTTTAAATTCTAAAAATATATTTATTTATCTTTTATATTGTGTTAGACTACGAATGCTAGTTGACAAGTAAAATAACAACTGAATTTATTGGTAGCAAAAATATAAAAATCTAAATTATGAGAGTAGGTTTATTATTTATTTTAAAAATAATCTAGACAATTAAAATTGTTTTTCAAGAGGGAACAAAACTACAATTAATGCGAGGGAAATGAAAATTTTGCTTAAATAACAATTTGATCTAAAAAACTTAGTGCATGCATGAAAAAATATTATATTTTTATGATTATTTTATAAATGACATTTTTTTTTCCAAATGAAAGAATAAAACGGAAAAATGTATGATCCCACAATTTTTTTATTTATTTTTAGAAATTACTCGAAATATAGAAATGAATGAATGTAAGGAAATCATAGAGTAAGAAATTTACATAAACATTAATTCATGTAAAAGAAATAGGAATGCTCCTTTTGTGTACTAAATTGATTTTTCCTTAAAATAAACAGTATAACTCCGAACCGATGGCGTATTAGCCTCATAATTTGTTAGGAGATTTTTTTTTTTTACAAAACTTAGTCTCGTTCATAAAGTATTATTATTTTTTACGTTTAAACTAGTTAAATGTGTTAAATTTAGATTATATTAAAAATGTTTATTTTAACTTTAAAACAAAATTAAGAATATTTCTGTATTTTTTATTATTGTTTTCTCGATATGTTATGCTTTTATGTTGTGTCTGCCTACATATAACTATTTTGGTAAAAAAGTATTAGTTAGTTGATAAATTTTAGATATTTTTGAGTAAAAATACGAAAAAGGGGACATAGATTTTGTTTTTTAGAAGGTAAAGAATCCCGTTTTTAGTCGTTCTCCAAAAGCAAAGTTCTTGCAATACACAAATGAAAAAGCGATTTTAAATAATGATGACTAAGAACTCTTTTTTATCATTTTTTTATGGACATAAATTATGGAAATATCTGTTGAGAAGATTATTGCAATAATTAAATGGATTTTTTTCGAAAAGGTTACTAGTGACCTATATTTTTCATAAAACATTTATTGTTAAAAGTATTCAAAGTAGAAAAAATCCAAAATATTTATTGATAATATTTTAGCAATACATTCAAAGATTATTGATAACAATCTACTAACCTAACAAAAATTAGATTCACAGTGTTTATAAATAACTACCGCTATCCTTGTTCAGAAATTATTTGAATTGACAAACTGTGAAAAAAAAAGTAAAAAAAGGAATATTATGTCTCATAAGTTTTTACATTTTAGCAAATATTAATTATGACAAAAAAATTTAACAGTGAAATATATTAAACTAGTTATGCAATTGAAAAGTTATTTTTAACATGTTTTTATCTCCTGTTAAATAAACTGAATTATAATAAAATTTAATTAAAATATTTTATTAAAGTACAAAAATCAATTAAGAATTCAATATTAAAAACTAAACAAAGATACAAATATGAACTTATCAGTAGGACATCCATTTTAAATTAGAAACAAGTTCCTGAAGTGTTCTTAAGGTCTAGGACATCATATGAATCATTTGAATAGGTATGGAGTCATCCAAAACTAGAAAAGAAGGGTTGGAAGTGATCATGTGTGGTGCTCAGTTCTTAGTGGGACCTGAGCGCGAGTTTTGCGAGAGGTTTGGCGTTGAGTTGCAGGGAAGTGACACTCAAGCACTAGGGATGCGAGAAGAATGACGCTCAGCGGCACGAGGGTGCCGCTTAACGCTACTCTACAAAGTGTTTTTCCTTTGTTTTCCAATATTGTGTTTTTTGTGGTTACTTTTGATTATTGAGGTGTATCTTGTGACATGTTTAATATGTTTTTTGATTTGTTATGAGTAGTATGAACATGTTTGATGTGTGTTACAAAATGTGATGGATTAAGAATTTTTAAGGAGAAATTCTAAGTGTCGTTTCAAAGTGTTGTTAATATAAATGTAGGGAGCTCTTAGTCTAGGTGCTTTTAGTAAAGCCTAAAATGCGATAGAGACAAACCTTATGAGTGTGGTAGGGTGAAACCTATTGACAATAGCTCTACAAAATAGTATAGGGCCACCACCACAAGTGCATGACTCGTCATAGCTCAACATTCATACTATAATAGTCCAGTCTAGATTTTTTGCATGATTAACATGTTTGATTATGTATGCGTAAATTATTATTATATTATGTTTAGTTTTGTATCACTAGCTTACTCTGTTTTGTGTATTTTTTGTTTAGCTATTGGTATATTTTGTATAATGATGATCCTCTCATGAATGTGAACAAAAGTGATAATATGATGGTAAAACAATTAGTGTAATAACTTTAATGTTTTATGTTTATTAGTTATGTTTTAACTTTAATGGTTTGGAATAATTATTATTGTGTATAGTTTTAATCTTAATATTTTTATATATAAAGTTTGTTTTATAGTAACTATAAATTAATTTTATATTCTTGTTTATAATTTTTTAATTAAATTTAATGTATGATATTTTATATTCTTGTTTATAATTTTTAATTAAATTTAATGTATGATATTAATATTTGTGTGGTTTATCTTTTTCAGTATTAATTAAAAAATAAGTCAAATACATAAAAAGTTAACATAATTAAATTAAATACTTATAATAATTTATTTTTTAAATTTAAACATTAAAATAGATCAAAATTTAAAACAAATTTCAATTTAATATCAATCTTACCGATCTAAAATATAATTAACCTTTATTAAATATACCATAGTTATGAATGCTTATTTATAGTCACCAAGAAGGCTATTATTGCAAATTTTATTTTTTAATAACCAAATATCAGATATCATCGAAATTTTCAATTTAATAATCAAACCACGATTTGTTTGAGAAATGGCACACCTAGATATTCCGACTAAATAGACTGTACATATAAGTTATTAAGGCTGGGATGAAATTAAATAAAGTCCATGCCAATGTTTTTTTATGTAATTTTTTATCATCTAAACACGAGTTGGAATTATGTACATAACTAAATTAACTAAATGAAGCCCCAATAACCAAAAGGCAAAATATACCTTAAAAAACCGAAAGGGGACCATTAAATAACATTTTGATAAAGTTTTATCCTTCACCAAAAAAACAGCACTACATGTCTGCGACTCTGCTCTCATTCCAGCTTCAGAAGCAACTATACGTTGCCCCAGAAAATGCAGGTTTTCTCAGACAGCAGAATCCTTTACCAAAAAACCAATATATATAAAAGAACATTATGTTTATTTTCAGTATAAAATACTTTTGTATTAATCAAGAAGAAATCTGTTTTACCCAGAAGACAATACATCCAACAAAGTTTCAAAAGTTTAAGAAATGAAATTGTTTTTTTACTTCTTTGGGTTTTTTAAAATAATTAATATACAAAGGATTGATTTTCCATGACATTGTCTAGTATTCACTGGTAAGTTTCACGAGGAAAAAGAGATAAAGATAAAGACCACAAAAAGAAGAAAACTTCTTGGAAGACACGAATTGGTCAAATTCAAATTCTACACATTAATTAAGAAAAAGAAAAATCTAAAAAAAAAATAGTCATTTTTGACTTACGAATGTACCAATTTGCAGCCTGTAGAAACAAACAGGGCATCATCATCACTGAGTTGAACGCCGAAATTGATCAATGAATAATACACTGGAAGGAGAAACAGCTTTTTCCTATATTTAATTTTCAGCTCAACTAAAACGAATTCAGAACCAAAACTTGTATTCAAAATAACATCTTAAGAGAAGGCACTAATCAGTTCCCCAGAAAATGGAAACAACAGAAAGAGATACAAATGAAAAAAAGAAAAAAATTGGATTGATAATTTTGATATATATGATTTGATTGAGAGATTATATATAACAAAACTCTAAACCCTGAATCACAGAAGAACATTCATTTCGTGTTAAAACATTGCAGGGCAGTGGTGATTGATTAATGTACAAAAGCAAAAATAAAAAGGAACAAGATAAAGTAAGGGAGGTGGTGTAAATATTAAAATCTAGACCTACCTTTCCTCTTCTTTTCTCTTCCTTTCTTCATTATCTAATTTTCTTCTTCATTATTATCTCTTCCAAATTCATACATTCATTCACTCACTGTCCCCACCCGCCCCAAATCCTTTCACCGATGAAACTCACAAACCTTCTCACCGATCCTTTCTCCTCAACCGCAACCCCTTCACAACCTTCATCACCGCCACCGTTACCTTCCACCACCGCTTCCAACTCGGCCGAGTCGTGAGTCGCCAGACTCGCCAGACTCACCAACTCGGACCGCTTCAACTCGCTCGAATGCGCATGCTTACTACTGCTGCTACTGCTGCTCCCCGCTTTCCTCTGGTTCCTCTTCTCCTTCTTCCCCTTCCCGTTCTTCTTACCCTTGTTTCCAATTTGAGCCAACGAATCCTCGTACGCGTCGATGATCTCGTGTATGAGCTGGCGATTCGGCGACTCGTCCCACCTGACCCAGTAGCTCGTGTAGCAGCCGAAGCAGCTGCAGTTGAAGGCAGGTGAATGGGCGGTTTCCGCGGCGCTTTTACGGCGGGGGTTGGCGGAGAAGGTGGAGGAGGCGGCGGCGGATGAGCAGGAGATGAGATAAGAGAGAACCTCCCGGTCGTCAGGAGAAAGGGCGGTTGCCAGAGTGAGTATGGCGGCGGGGAGGAAAGCGAGGTGGTCGGAGATGATCGGCGGTGACGGGTGAACCGTCCCTTTATGGTAGAGCTTCTTCATGAGGAGGGAGAAAATGGCGATTGCGTTGGTTAGTCTTTGTTGTTGTTTTTCTTATCTAACGCTGAACAGAAAGAGAGAGAAAATGGGAGAGGGGTTTGGACTTTGAAGGGTTGGGAGGGTTCTTAATCAGGGTTTTCTTTTTCTGCCTTTTTCCCTTTCTTTTTAAATAAATAAATGAATTAGGAGCAGAGAGAGAGAGAGAGAGAGAGATAACTAGGTATTGGTATTGGAGGAGTTGGTGACGTAGATTCTGGGTTAGGGAAATGTTCCCCTGCGACGCGGCACTGCCCTATCTTATCACTCACTGTGTGTAGACTTGGTATTAGGGCACTCTTGTCCTGGGACCACGTCCCTCTTTTGTCTCTTCCTTCTCAATTTGCTCGCTTGTAGGGTTCTCTTTGTGATCATTACACTGTTCTTACTCTCAATTAACCCTACTCTCACCATCGCTTTAGCTTTTTTAATTAAGCTCCACTTTCCCTCAAATCACATCATCATTTGTGTCTCAGACTTACTTTTTCTTTTCCTAATACAATTTTCATAATACATTTCCTTATCAATTTATGTTCATCTTTCACAAATATATTTAATTATTTTTTCCCAACTACTAAATCAAACATCACTATACTTTTAAACTTCCTTTATTTTTGTATTAGTCTGTGGTTGAAAATTACACTTCCATTACCTATATAATGATTTATCAATCAAATACTTTATTTATTTAGACAAAAAATTAGCATGCTTATCGTATATATTTTATCACTTTTTCTCTACAATATTCGTGATAAAACTGAACTTATTCAATTCAAAAATTCAAATCAATTAAAAGTATACACTTCAATGATTTTTTAAGGAAAATAATGGAGGATTGATTAAAAAAACATTGGGTTACTTTCTTCTTTCGCTTACATCAATTTTATTCAATTCATAAACACTGATATTTTCTCCTAGAAATATGCTCGTCTCTAAAATATCTTAAGTTTCTATCTGTCTATTTGTTTCTGCAAACTGATTTGCAGTGATATAATGTAACAGACGAGGAAAATAAATACTGAAGGCGAAAAATAACACTCATCTTCATTTTAATGCAATTATAATTATATTTTCTGTTTTAATTAAATAAATAATTAAAATAAAATAAAATATTAAAATGATATTTATTCATTTTATAATTTCATCTATTAAAATTATATTTTTATCATTCCCATTCTTCAAATCATTCATAATTTTTTATCCCTGTTCTACTTTTCTTAATCTAAACCGTCTCAGTGCTTTCATCTAAGCACAAAGTAAAGTGATGGTCTCTGAAAAAGATAGATGTAAGAAAATTAAATTAGTCTTACTAATAGGGTCTCTTTCCTGCTTATTTAAGAAAAGTTTTTAGTTTCGTGGAATGATTTTTATTTATGTATCTCACATAAAAAAAGTAAGAGTATAGATTATAGAAATTTGAAGATACTTTATAAAAAATGCATTATTTAGATAAGTAAATTTAAAAGAATTAAAAATAAATAAATTTTGTGAGAGAAAATTGACGTGCTTCTCTCTTATAGATATAATCTGCCATTCTAAGTTATGTTATGATAACAATGGCAGCAACTTCCGGAAGTACGTGAAATGATGAATTAGGGTTTTGTTTGGTGGGATTGGTTTGGCCTATATAAAATCTATGACGGCCTTTTTACTCCCTCACATGAACTTGTCACCTCAATTATTATTATATGGATTATAAATCGTTATCGGCGTAATGCTTTATCACGAGCACGGATTATTTATCTTCTCACGTGTTTCCATGAAACCAAAATTTATATTTATCTTATTTCAGCTGGTAACAAGTAATGCAGAAAACCTATATAAGTATGTGGAAATATTTTTAAAAGTAGTGAATTATATATTATATATGTTTGAGTTTTAATTTAATTTCGTATTCAAAGTTAGGGGTGAAAAATAATAACTTTTAGTGGGGGTTGTATTAAAGGAATTTGGACTAGTACAACAAGTTGTAATGAAAGAAAAATAGAACAAGGAGATAAATTTAACAAACAAAAGCGTTGTCGATAGAAATTGCAGAAATTACTTTAGGTAATTTGAAACATCTTTTTCAACTCTTTTCTCTCTCCTTCAACTAATTATAATTTCATTTTTCATACAGTGAGTATTCGTTATAGAAGCTAGTTAAAAGAGATTTTAAAATATCAATTTTAAGTTTTATTTTCTTCAAATTTCATCTTAGAAAATGCATGTATGTCTTGGGTTTAGGCTGATCTTAAAATGTTACGGGGTTTTAACAGAGTTTTGCAATTTGAGCTAAAAGTTTGGATGATTGTTGAGTTCAGTTAGGATCTTTTAAGTATTCAAGGAATTTTATTGAGATTTTTGCTTCATTCTCGTCTTCGACACTCACATAATTTATTGTACCAAAAATTAAAGTAATAACATCTAACTTTATCGTAAATGTTAAGTAAAATTAATGATGGTGATGATTTATAACTTATGCGAGGTACCAAGTGGGTGAATTAGAGAAAATGTAAAATAAAATTATATATGAGTGTTTTTTTTTTTAGAATTTTGATTCGATTTTTTTATATAATATTATTAAATAAATTAAATTTAGTTAACATAATTTATTATTGAAAATATGTTTTTCGATTTATTTTAAAGTGTTAGAGTATTTATGTAGTTACTGTTAGAATTAATTTAATAAATAATTTGCTTATATTATGAATTAAAGTCTTACAAATCTTTAAATAATTGGATTTTTTTTATATGGGCTTCAATAACAATTTATATTTTTTTTTCTTGTTGTATTTTTGTTACTTTTTCAACAGATGAAGATGATGGATGAAAAAAAATGAAAAAGGAAGAATTTGCATAAATATAAACTCCATGAAAATAAACTACTAACGGTAGAATAAAATAGATAAGCTTTATTAATAGTATAAAACTTATAAATTAATATATCAAGTAATAAAAAGTCAATGAACGTATCAATAGTTACTCTTACATTAGTCGAAAAATGAAATAAACAAGTATATATATATATATATATATATATAGGGGTTTGCTAACGCGCAGTACGCCTGTTTTTCAGTTGGTACATTTTAGCAATGTGTACCGGATTTTCATCTCTCTCATTCCTCTCAATCATTTCTCTTTCATCTCTCTCACTCTAACCTTTTCTCTGTCATCCTACTGTAGCCCCAATTGAAAAAATCAGAAACACTTGTCTTTAAACAATTTGTCTTTCTAAAGAGTTGAGTCATTGACATATTCACCTTGAGGCAAAGGTTCATTCAAGATTTCCTCAATTTCACCATCTTCACTAATTTCACTAATTTCTCTAATTTCATCATTTGCATATGTTGAATCATCATCTCTAAAAAAACCCTCCAGGCCAATTACCAATTCTTTCGGATGTCATTATGCTTGTGAAAATTAGATAAAATTAGATAAGACAAAAATTATAAAATAAAAACTCATTATAAAGTCATTTTTTGTAAGAAATTGTTTAACAACAAGTATTTCTGATTTTTTCCAGGTCAATTACCAATTCCTTTATGCTTGTGAAAATTGGATAAAATTAGATAAGACAAAAATTATAAGATCAAAACTCATTATAAAATCATTTTTTTGTAAGATTGTTTAACTTTCAATTGGGGCTACAGTAGGGTGTTTCTGATTTTTTCAATTGGGGCTACAGTAGGGATGACAGAGAAAAGATTGGAGTGAGAAAGATGAAAGAGAAAGGGTTTAGAGGAATGAGAGAGGTGAATAAGGGTTTGGGGGTTTCTTTTTTTTTTTACCAACTGAAAAACAGGCGTACGCGCGTTAGCAAACCCCATATATATATATATATATATATATATATATATATAATACTATAATGATATTATTTTAATATAGAAAAAATGGTAGTATGGGTATTGAATTAAAGACCTATAAATATGTGTTCCATCAAAGTGTAATGAAAATACGGTATTATTAACTTTTCGATGGTTACACACGATTTTATAAGTACACACAGATGTGTGTCTTTTAAGTATACACATGTGTGTCTTTTATTTAATAATAGTTCTTACAATACAAAAGTTTAAATTATATAATGACAACCTCATTAATAAATAATCTTACTTAGCAAATCTTAAGTTCAAAACAATAAAAGTTTACTTTTTATTTTGAGAAATGCCTCTCATCACATCAATTGTCAAGGCAACCATGACTTGTAGTTATAAAAAAACCAACATAATTATCACACCACGAAGATTATCGTTTTTATGTTGGAAATACTTTATGTAGGATGAATTATCTTTTTCAATTATTTGTCAACATAATATTTTTGTTCGGCAATAGTGTGTGTGATAAAATGAACATGTACTAACGATAACAAGATAAATAATTATTCAAAATCTTTATAACTTATTTAAGTTATAAAAATGCAAAATAACGATAATCATAATTAAAAAATAAATTATTAAAAATATTATATATATGTACTTTTTTCTTCATCAATATTTTTAAAATTATATTAATCATTGAATTTGACGAAGTATTTATTTTAAATTAAATATTAAACCAGACTCTTTTTAATATTAATAAAGTACTATACAACAACTATAAAAATAATAAAATGTTCCAACATATCAATGTGAATATAAAATAACTAAAAAGTAAAGAAAAAAAATGTATTACATATGAATATTTCTTAACCTATTATCAATATGTGTGAGAAAAAATGATTGAAAGAAACAGAAGTTACTTCAGTATCTTCACTAAGAAGTAAACAGTTTGCAACGAAAAAGTAATAGGTAAGATTTTGCCTCCAATAATAAATATAAATGCAAAAAACATGGGAAATCAATATTCTTACCTATGGTCAAACACTCAGACTGTGGTCGTTTGCACGTTTTTACTATTACAGGAAGGAATTCTTGGTGATTAACATGTTTTTATCTCAGAATTTGCGGGTGAAGATACGTGGAATTGGTAGAATATACATTTTTTCTACATGAAAAGGATTTGAGTGAAGTCTGTCCATAGTAGATTTTTTTTATGAAAATATCTATATAGAGTTTCATATTCTAGAGACTACTTTTTACTGTGTATTGAAATAATTAATTTTATAAGTTGAGAGAATCG